GACACTCTTGTAGGACACTCTTGTCGGGCACTCTTATGGGACACTCTCTTGTGAGACACTCTTGTAGGACACTCTTGTGGGTCACTCTTACACGACACTCTTGTAGGACACTCCTTGTGGGACACTCTTGTAGGAAACTCTTGTGGGATACTCTTGTGGGACACTCTTGTGGGACACTCTTGTAGGACACTCTTGTGGGACACTCTTGTGGGATACTCTTGTGGGGTACTCTTGTAGGACACTCTTGTGGGACACTCTTGTGTGACACTCTTGTAGGAAACTCTTGTGGGACACTCTTGTAGGACACTCTTATGGGATACTCTTGTAGGACACTCTCGTGTGACAGTCTTGTAGGAAACTCTTGTGGGACATGGGACACTCTTGTAGGACACTCTTGTGGGACACTCTTATGGGACACTCTTGTGGGTCACTCTTGTGGGACACTCTCATAGGACACTCTTGTCGGACACGTTTGTGGGACAATCTTGTGGGACACTCTTGTGGGACACTCTTGAAGGACACTCTTCTGGGACACTCTTCTGGGACACTCTTGTAGGACAGTCTTCTGGAACACTCTTGTGGGACACTCTTGTAGGACACTCTTGTAGGACACTCTTGTGGGACACTCTTGCAGGAAACTCTTGTAGGGCACTCTTAAGGGACACTCTTGTGAGACACTCTTGTGGGACGCTCTTATGGGACACTCTTGTGGGACACTCTTGCGGGACACTCTTGTAGGACACTCTTGTGGGACACTCTTGTGGGACACTCTTGTAGGAAACTCTTGTGGGACACTCTTGTAGGACACTCTTGCGGGACACTCTTATAGGACGCTCTTGTGGGACACTCTTCTGGGACACTCTTGTGGGACACTCTGTGGGTCACTTGCAGGACACTCTTGTGGGACACGGTTGCGGGGCACTCTTGTGGGACACTCTTGTGGGACACTCTTGTAGGACACTCTTGTAGGACACTCTTGTAGGACACTCTTCTGGGACACTCTTGTGGGACACTCTTGTAGACACTCTTGTAGGACACGCTTCCGGGACACTCTTGTGGGTCACTCTTCCACGACACTCTTGTAGGACACTCCTTGTGGGACACTCTCATAGGACACTCTTGTGGGTCACTCTTATGGGACACTCTTGCCAGACATTCTTGTGGGACACTCTTATAGGACACACTCTTATGGGACACTCTTGTCGGACATTGTTGTGGGACACTCTTGTGAGACACTCTTGCAGGACACTCTTGTGGGGCACTCTTGTGGGACACTCTTGTAGGACATTCCTGTAGGACACTCTTGTGGGACAATTTTGTGGGACACTCTTGTGGGACACTCTGGTGTGACACTCTTGTAGGAAACTCTTGTGGGACACTCTTGTGGGACACTCTTGTAGGAAACTCTTGTGGGACACTCTTGTAGGACACTCTTGTGGGACACTCTTATAGGACACTCTTGTGGGACACTCTTGTGGGACACTCTTGTAGGACACACTTGTAGGACACTCTTGTGGGACGCTCTGTGGGACACTCTTGTAGGACACTCTTGTAGGACACTCTTGTGGGACACTCTTGTGGCACACTAGAAGCAGTCCTGCGAGCGTTTCGTACGAGACGTCCTCCAAAAGTCACGCTTCGAGGCTGCGCAAGACGAGCGTTTCGTTCGAGACTTTCTCCAAAAGTCACGCGTCAAGTCTCCAAAACGAGCGCTTCGTACGAGACTTCCTCCAAAAGTCACACGTCAAGTCTCCAAAACGAGCGTTTCGTACGAGACTTCCTCCAAAAGTCACGTGTCAAGTCTCCAAAACGAGCGTTTCGTACGAGACTTCCTCCAAAA